AAATGGACCCATTGATCTTAGATGGAAGATGAGATAGAGTACTAAAGTCGTCATCAAAAAAACTTAAATTATTCTTTGACATTAGATAAACCTTCACAGGACAAGCCTATTCTTGATTGTTAGTGTTGTCAAGTAAGTTTGTTACAAGAAGAATGAAAGAATTTTTACTCAGATGTAAGTAATAATGGTTTGAAGGATCAAAACAATTGTTTTCTATCAAGCAAGGACAAATATTATTCAATAAAATAAAAGAATTGAAATTTGATATCATATTATATATTTATATTAAACATACTTCATCTTTACAAAACTAATTTGTAAAATAAACAATGTTATTGTTTATAAACATGTATTCAAGTCACATGTTGTTTAGTGTGAGACTCTTAACACTCCCTCACACACACCACTATTAGGTTTGGTATATGAATATAAATGATTAGTGAAAACTTGACACCTCCCTGATTGCTTAATTGTAGCATTTCGCTTGCCCTCTTTGCATCCTTCAATACCTTCATTATGTTGGGTTTGAAAAGTTTGATTTAGTCTTATATAAATATGTTATATGTAGAGTTTAACAATCCTTACCATAAGTCGGTTTTGTAGGTATAAATTATACTCAATCCAAATTCCAAGATGACATCATTGTCTATCCTAAATATGGTGTTGGGCTTTCCACATCGTGCAAGCTTCGGGCTCATACATACCTAAGAGTAAGGGGCTCTGTTGAAAATTTTGTGTTCATAAAGCTTTGTCAGTCGCCAAATTTTTGCATTTGACTTATCTTCACTGCAACTTCCAATATCTTTATTGTGTTGAGTTTGAAGGAGTGAGTTTAGTTTTACGTTGTTTAGAGATATGATTTGTATAACATTTATAAATTTTAAGATCTCTTTACCTTACAAGTCAGTTTTATAAGAATTAGTTAAATTTAATCTAAATTTCAAAATATATATATGTTCATTTATAAAATACCAATTTTTTTAGAACTAAAATAACTAAACCATCAAATGGAATATAATTAGTACGACAGCGGGGGCGGGAACGATTTTATCTTCCCACACCCAAACCCAAATCCTTAGTATATCATCAATTTTTGAAAATTAAAAGAAGTATGTTTTTCCAAAATTAAATTGCATTATATATATAAAAAAAGTAAAGAATCCCAAAAAAATTTAAAACTATATATTTCAAATAATAAAGTAAAAATTAAAATATCAAAATCTTGATCATACAACTAATACTTCAAATCATCAAAATTAAATAAATTACGAATTGATACAAATGTGACGAATTTAGGGTGGATATTGGTGTGCCTCTTACCCAACTCATCATATTTTGTAATAAAAAAAAATCTAAATACAAACTCAAATTCAATCAAAACAAATTTTTCCGTCAAACTCAAAACGGATTAAATAAATATCCGCGGATAAAATTTTTATTGTCATGCCTAAATATAATCGTAAAAAAGCTTGTTTCTCCAAAGTTAAATTGCATTATATATATATATATATATAAAAAAAAAGTAACAAATTTCAAAAACTTTCAAAACTATATATTTCAAATAATAAAATTAAAATTAAAATATTAAAATACTGATCATACAACTAATACTCCAAATCTTTAAAACTAAACAAAGTACGAATTGATACAAATGTGACAAGTTTATGATGGATATTAGTGTCTCTTTTATCAGACTCATCATTTTATTTTGTAATTAAAAAAACTTTAAATTCAAACTCAAACTCAATCAAAACAGATTTTTCTGTCAAACTTAAAATGAATTCAAATGAATATTTGCAGATAAGATTTTTTTATTGTCATGCATAAATATAATCGCAATTAAAATTAAAGCTAGACTTGAGACAACACTAATTTCCTAAAAAGAGTTTGTTTTTATTTTTTAAAAAATAAAGAAAAAGAAAAGATGATAACATATTAAAATTATCATGAAATTATTATAAGAACCGTCATTAAGCCATAATCAAACATTTGCAGCATGGGGTGGTGGATTATTATAATCAAGTTACATTAATAGGGTCATATCATATAACAAGTTACATTATTATTATAAAAATTTGCTTTCAAAGGGCAAACTAGAGTTGGCCTCCTTTCCAACCTATTTGCTGGAAATGCAAGGAACAAAGAGAAAAGTAGATTCCCACTGCACATGTTATGTGATAGACAATGTTTAATTTGTCTTGGCTTGTGTAGGGACCAAAAACATTTTTTATTATAGATTTTTCAGACCTTGATGATTACCTCAAACATTGCATGCATATCATATCTGTATAGAACACTGTTCCCTACCATTCTCTTTCTATTAATATAAGGTTAATTGATTGATATAAGGTTTAACTAAATTGTTTATCCAAGTTGGTAATGTTTGTTTGGTTGTGAAATGAGTAATTTATGATGTTAATGTTGATATCAATATGTCATTTTTTGTGTGCAGTGGTAAACAAGAGTGTGACTAGTGATTAATCAATAATGAACTAGTTAAGTTAATAATTCCAAATCCTTTCTGGGCCATTTTAAGAAAGTGACAGTAGCAATCATAATTTTTGCCACATGGTGGTGTTTTACTTTATTAAATAAAGATTTTATAGTGTTTTAAAAATCGAACCGAATCAGTCGGTTGAAACAGTTAGACCAAAAATCGGAGGAGTCATTAAATTGGTCTAATTGTCGAAATGAATAAGCTATTAACTGGTCTAATCAGTTTAACCATACAATTCAGTTTAACCATACAATTTGACCAGTAATCCAATGGTTCAACCAACAAATCAACGATGGAGTAACCTAATCGGTTTAATGACCAGTCTGATTTTTAAAAAAAAGAACTCATCCTATTTTTAAAATAAAATCTAGAATAAAAAAATTACTGGAGGATTAATAATGGGGTTACTTATGACTATTTTATGAGGTTAAATTTTTATTATTGATCCAAAAGCATTTGAATTGGAAGGTAAGAAATCTTTTTCCTTTTAATCAAAAGTTTTAGATTCAAACTCAACCTAAACACGCAGCTAAATTAAATTCTTTTGAAGGAAAGTTTTTTTTACCCATTATGATCTTTTCTGACTTAAGAAATTAGTATCTACTATTATCTTTCTTAACTTAAGAAATTAATCTCAATAATTATGCACAGAGGATACTCAGTTTTTAAAATTTTTCCCACTAAAAATATGAAATTTAAAGAGAATAATTTTTTCGACATGAAATCTGGACGCTACACGAAACACTCGTGTGGCCTAATAGAAGCTGCCAAAATTTATTTTAACAAGTTAATCTTAATTGCACCATTAGAGATGCTCTAGAAAAAAGCTAAATCAAAGTGAAATTGATTATGATCTATGAATAAAGAGAGTAATGAATATGGATAAAGGAATCAATTTTGTAGATAAGGAAAATGTCCTTTCCTACAATGTGCAAAATCTAAACCAGAAACAGGCCATTTTCAGCAATCACTCATGTGGGCCTTTTTCCTAAGATCAGGAAATTAGGTTGCCACAAACTGGACCCACCAACAAAGAATCTGCTCAATCAGTGAGAAGAGAGAGAGAGAAATCCAAGCCAGAGAATTTTCAACTATAATAAGGTTTGTCATTGAGGACATTTATTGCATAAAGAGAATAAAAAGTAGGGGAAAATTGAAAAGTAGATCAAGAGGAAGAACCTAAGAAAGAAGAGATAAACATGGAGAAGTTAACTTCCAAAAGAGAATCTTTGTGTCCCTTGTCATGTTGTTGGGGTGTCACTGTTTATATACATCTACCTATAAAGACTATACTGTACATTTCTGTATTATAACTATATGCTAACAAAAATACTTTACTTTATCAGCCAATGTCTTTCATTTGAGTAAAAAAGAAGAAAAATATAAAATAATAGTCAACAACTCATAGTCTCTTATCTAAGATTCTGTTTTTGTGGTTGTGTGTGATCAACAACAAAAAAGACTTATCAAAAGCTGATTTCTTCCCTATGTGCTATTAAACTCAGGTAGACACCTCTAGAAAAAAAAATTGTATGTTATACCCGTGTGACTGTCGTGACACTGACATCTCTTAAAAAAATATTGTCTGCGTCTGTGTGAGTGTCTGACACAAACATTAGTAATTATATTTAGCTATAATGTCTGTGTTGTGTTTGGTGTTTGTGTTTTTGTCTGTGTTTTATAACTATTAATATTTTTTTGTAAACAAAATTTAAATTTAAAAGTATATATTTTTCGGTCCTGTTAAACCAACTCAGTTTATAATTGTGCAGAGACATTCGATTGCAGGAGTGCAATTCCGAACACGCAACATATGACTTATTCACTTTTAAAAGGTGAAATTAGATGGAAGAAAAAAAAACTCTTCTTGTTTCTCACACACAAGGACAAACATGAAATAAAAAGCTCTGATTTCATGGGAATAGGCCTAAAACAGGATCTGCAATCCTTTCTCAAATTCAGATATCATTTATAAAGTAAGAACAAAGGACCAACATTTTGGGTTGAACTAGTAAAGAGAATAAAAAAAGGTATCATGATGAGTTCCCATCTAAAAGAATTATAGACAAAGTTAAGTGAAGAGCCTTTACCTCCTTTTAACAAGGAGAAAAGTTAAAGCAAGTTGAAAGACTCAACTCATGCAATCAAGTTCATCATTGAAAAAACACAAGTTAGAGAAGAAACTATCAATTATTACCATTTTCAACACAAGGTGATTCAATTTCTATATTATCATAAACATGCTTGATTCTTTATTAGATCCAAAATTACAAGGTTTTACAATGAGAGAGAGAGAAATGGGTTGGAATTTCAAAAATCAACATATAATTTTTATATTTGAAAACATGACTAGTTATGCTTAAGAAAATCTTGTAACACAAGAAGATAGTTTCGATTTCAATTTCGACTAAAGAACCTAAACATGTTCTACAGCTCAACAAGATTGTGAAGTTTATGGTTCTCCACAAATCAAAAGAATTAAGAAAAACAAACCCTCTTTTTTCTATGTAGGCCTGATTCTTTTGTGTCCACCTTTTCCATCTGATTTCACAGCACCACTTGAATCTCCTTCTGAAGTAACATCCATAGATTTCGTAAACGAACTCGAAAGATCGGCATATAAATCAACGACTCTTCTAATATTGTTGTTGAGCTCTTTAATAAGTCCAACATTCCTGCTTAAATTATCAGGAATCTTGGACTCATGATTCTGGTTTATCTCGTTGATTAATAACCTGTTCTGATCCAAAATGTTCTGCACTTGAACAAAACTCTTCTGAAAAGTACCCAAAATTTTAGTATCAATTTGTGTTCCATTTCCAATACCAGAAAATGTATCATCCTCCATTCTTGTTATTTAGAGTCCAAAACCCAAAATTCAAATCAGAACAAACCCTGCACAATCATTACATATAACAAAATATTAAAAAAAATCATTCAAAAATTTCGCTTCTTAAAAGTGAACAAGTGGGATGTTGCATATTCAAAACAGCGCAACTGCAGTCAAATGTCTGAGCACAGCTATCAAGCTGGCTTTACAAGACTTGCAGAAACATCTAATTCGCGTCAATGCAGTTAGATGTCCCTGCACAGCTACCAATTGAGTCAACTTAACAGGACCCACAAAAACATTTAATAAATTGAATTGCGAGTTCGAAACCACATCACTAGAGTCAAATATCTCAGCATATCTATCAACCGAGGTTGCTTAACAGAATCTGCAAAAACATTTAATATGGTTTCGAACCCGTAATTGGGTTCGAACCTGCGATTAAGCACTTAATGCGCTTTTATAATAATTTTATCCATAATCATATCCTATAATCATATCCTACAATCTGTACAGGCCTGCACTAAAAACATAACAGAGAGACAAAACGTGAACAGTTTTGGAATTTTTTAAGGCATTTTGCAGATGAGACAAGGTCTGTTGTAGAAATCATGACTTCTATTAGTTACTTTTCCATAGCAAATGGAATCAAACTATAAACATGAATAATTATTATTATTATTATTACTAATTTCAAGTACTAATACAAGTACTATAATTATTATGGATAGTGATAATAACTAATAATTTAAATTATATATATTTTGAGTTAGAAAAAAAAAAAAAGCAGATCCCATTTCCATAAAAGGGTACCTTTTGTTATTGTACTCAGAAAAATATTTACCTAAAAGCACAGAGTTTCATAAAAGAATCTCTCAGAAACACAAATTGCCTCAATAATAAAAATCAATCATTAACCTTTTTCACCCATAAAAAATAAAATAAAAAATAAAAAACCTAAAACCAAAAATAAAAATAACTAACATTCCAAAATTCATACATACATTGAATTACATTGCTCAGAACTAATTATAATGAGTAAATAAAAAAAATTAAAATGTTGAAATTATGGATAGAATTGGAAAATTGTTGATGTCAAGAAACGACGAATCTCATAAACAAATTGATGAATTGTTTCTTGATAATTTAATTATAAATTGTTGATATGATGAATATTATTATAATGGAATGAAAAATGGTACCTTATGAATCGGGAGCATTATATTTTGGGGGAGAAGAGAGAGATTGAGAGATTAACCGGAAGAGTGATGATGGTGAAATCTCCGAAGGAAGGAAGGAGGTATGTGTGTGCTGTGAAATGTGAATTGAATTCTTTGGTTAGAGAGAGAAAGTGAAGAGAGAGAAGAGGGAGAGTTAGAGAGAGAACATGTAGATTTGACAGTCACGCTCACGTTTGGACCCTTTTCTTCTTAATAAGTTTTGAAAAATGCTATTTTGACACCATTTCTTACACCCCATACATACACCGTATGCACTGTTCACCGTATTTATACGGTGAACAGTGTTTTTTTTATTAAAATAATATATTTTTTTAAAATATTAATTTTTTTTAAAAAAAATATTTATTTTTAAAATTTATTTTATAACACAAATATAATTTTACGCATTAACCAACTTCACAGTTGCATTAACCACAAAAATCTACATCATTAACCAATTATTTTACCTATAATTTATTAACCACTTTCACTACTTCATTAACCAATAAAATACATACCATTAACCATGTTCTGAGCATTTTTTTCATATATTTATGAACAGTACATTGGGTGTAAGGTGTAAGAAAGGGTGTAGAAATAGCATACCTGATGAGTTTTTAACAATAATACCTTTTTTCTCTCCTAAGAATTTAATGATATTTTAATGTTTAATATTCAACCTTTTTATTTAACTGAAAATGGGTGTTTTAATTTTTTATATTACTTTTTGTTAATGATAATTAGAAATTTAGAATTGATGAGGATTTTATCCATATCAATAAAAAAATTGTATCCAACTTCATTATTATTTTTTTTTTAAAATTTTTTATTTTAACAGAAAAGTTGGCGTAGTGTGGCTAGGGTCAAAATAGATTGGGTCGACCTAGATTTTATGAAATTTAAATTGAATCTGTCAAAAAAAGTGAAGACCAAGTCTGATATATAGTCTGTCATAGATAATTTTTTAGGTTTGAATTTGATATTTTTTAAAATTGATTAGCATGCTAGTCTACATAAAAGTCTAATATTTTAGACATATGTAAATAATCAATTAAAATAATATTTAAATAGACTAACAAATTAGAAAACTAATGAGACTGAAATATTGTTTACATTGACTTATTTTAACTTACCTATTAACATAAGTTTTGTGAGACTATTTGTTTAAGTTAGCTTATGAAAACAATTATAAAATTGTTCATAATATATTTTCATCTTATTTTCATAAGTTCTCCAAGATAACCAATGTATTTTAATTCAAAGTATAAAACATAACATAATGATAATAAAAAAGTTATTCATATTTATTTAAATAAGTCGGTCTGTTAGACTTAAAAGACTTTTTTTCATGGTCTGAGACCTAACATTTTTAATTAAATAGGTTTATAAAAAAACCAATGCCTTTTCTATTTAAAAAAAGTTTGACCTGCCTTAAGCCTATGTAGGCTAGGCCGTTGACCCCTGTTATCAGTCTGACCTATTTCCATCCCTAAGTACGACTCACCTTATAACGTTTCAGATTATTTTTCAGAATTGTTCACTAATTTCACAAATTAATTTGGGTCTTTTCAGCATTATTTTTAAATTAAGTGATTAAAATAAAATAGAAAAGAAGAATTTGAGTGAAAAAATAGAATATTAGAGAATAATGAGAATTATTAGTATTTAAATAAAATTAGAGACAAAAATGGTGTTTTGGTAAATGGAAGATAAAGTGAGGGTAATATGGTGTAGAATGCATGATTTGGTAAAGGAAAGTCCTCAATCTCATTAAGTTTTTCTCTAATTTTTTTTTGCTGAATGATTGAAGAACATGACTTAAATCATATGATAGCATGAATTGTATGATGTATTATGTGAAATTTGTGTACTATTTTACCATGGAATTTGTGTGTTCTTGTTAATGATGTTGCATTGAATTCGTGTTTTTATTTATATGGTGATTTTGATGAATAAAGCATAATAAATTCATGATCAATCCAATAAAATGCAAGTTAATTGATAGATGAATAATGTATTGTTGTTAGATATTATTTTTTTCTGACGTTGTTGTTCGATTTGGGGTTTAAGAAAGAAAAATCGGAGTTTTGAATTGAACTCCATGGCCAAAAACGCAAATTTTATTTCTGCTTCATGGTGACTGACGTCACCCTAATGACGACCAGGTCATCATGGCCTCGAAGGCGCTGACAGACATCAACTGTCTGACGAGTAGACCTCATGGTCCCCAGGCATAATTTTATTAGATGATCGTCACATGGATGACGTGTGAGGTGGCATGGGTGGTGTCTGACGTCACATTGGTGACAGTTAACTCGTCATAGCTCCAAAATGACAGTCGTTCGCTCTATTGCTTAGATATGAGTGTCGATTTTGATTTTTGTCGATGTACTGTTATTAGGCTATTATTTGACCACTGTTTAGAAATAATTTGGTATTATTTATTATTGATTGTTGAATTAATCAATTAATATGATATTGTACATACTTATAATAATTATATGATAATAATTTTGGAGACAATACATATTGTTAAAAGTCATGCATTATCTCAATTTTATTTTCATTACATAAAATTACTAACTAATATAAAAGACACAGAAAAAATAAAAAAGATAAAGTATTAAATGATTAGTGTTAATACTAAAAAAAATTTATAAATTTTTCTGTACCTATCCCAATATTATTTAAAACTTTCCGTTTCATCCTAATATATACATTTTTATCAATAATTAATATCTAAAATTATATGACCCGGTGGCTATACATTTTCACCCTAAACCATGGGTCAGTAGTTCATTACACAGGCCATAATCCTAAGTTCAATTCCATAATGGGGATTTTGTTTTCATATTGCACTATTTTAATCATCTAAAAACTGTCACTGAATCGATTGCTAGAATAGTCACAAATTTTGTTTTCATGACAAACTCATAGTTGTTGAAGAGGGACAACTTTGTATTTGGTCATAAAGTCTTAGAAAAAACTAGATGGTAAAGGTTTTGTACAAGCATATACTATCTGTGTTGATGTGAATGCATTAAGTAGTCAAACACTAAAAAAAGATTATTATTTATAGTCTAAGACCATATATATTGATAGATAAAATTATTTTCGTTTTGATGAATAGATAAATTGATTGGAAAAAAATCAGAATTATGGTTAACAACAAAATAGGAGGAAAACCCCACGTACGGTGGAGAGTTTTTGTTGTCGTGGAAAAAAGTAAAAGTTATATTCCTATTAATATAGGAATTAGAAAAGGGATGAAAAAGTATGATTCATGAAGATTGTTGGTGTATATTTCATAAAAAAAAAATAAAGAATAAAAAATATTTAGATTCTTGATGAATTTTATTTTTTATTGGTTTAATTGATCTCTTTTGTAAAGGGTTAGTAAAAAAAGTGGATATAGAAATAGAATATGATATTCTTTTAAATAAAAATAAAACAAAATTAAATAAAATTTATTGATTAAAAATATTTGGCCATATATGATTACAAGCCTCGCCATATATGATTACAAGCCTCGACAATATTAGGATTATCTATATCTATTTGGGCTTTCACAAAATCAGGTTGGTCCTCCAACCAAACTCTAGTCTCACTAATGTTGACTTCTCTAGCGATAATAAGTGCCACTTTGTTTTTTTCTCCCTTAGTGTGATAGAACTTAGTTTCTCTAAAACCTATTCATCTCTTTGCTAGTGATATGCACATAACTCCTCATTTGGTTCTGGATTTTTCATCACTGTTTAATAATTTATAATTGCTTTGCTGTCAACTTTGATTTCTACC